GTGCCGGCGGCGTGACGGCGGCCGCCGTGCCGGCGGCGTGGCGCACGCTCTCCTTGTTTGTGCCCGCCGTGGGGCGCTGCAGGGCGGCCCCCATCGCACCTGAACTCCACGACGACCCGCGCCCACCGCCTGCCGACCAGATGGCGCCGCACCACCAGCGCGAGCTGGGCCAGCAGCAGGTGCTGAGGAACGACCAGGGCCGTTGCGTGGGCGGTGCGGTCGACGGGCCTCTGCTGCTGCTGCTGCTGCTGCTCTTGCTGCTGCTGTGCGTCCGCAATCATAGTGCTTATGTCACTCCCGTCGCTTGCAGGCGCCGCCTGAATAAACGACAAGTCAGCAAGCCGGACCCGGCCCCCCAGCTGCGGCATGGCCGCGCACATGCGTTGTGCGGCAGGCGCCCCCGTCGGTGACGTCAGCAGCAGCACTTGCGTGCAGCTGCACCTGCCTTGCGGCAGCAGGACCCTCAGCGCCGCTTCAAGCGCAGACCTGAGAGAGGAGGGGCCCCCGGCAGTGGGTGGGTCGTGATGCTGTTGGGCCAAACAATTTCATCCAGCCATACTCTACGGTTGACAGTCTCGCATCCAATCAGCAGTCTCGCATTTGGAACGCACAACTCGCAGATGTGGACAACGGCACAACCGCGCACACGACCCCGCCCTCCAAGCGCCGCCCCCATATGACTGCTCACCTCAAGTTGCCGCCATCCTGCAGGAAGGCATCCGCGCTGTGCACCACCACCAGCTCCAAATCATCAAGCAGCGGGCCCCGCCGCGCCTCCCCCTCTTGCAAGTGATGCCGCAGCCGCGACGGCGTCGCAAGGAGCAGGTGCGGCGGCGCCTCACGCGCCGCGTGCCGCTCAGAAAGGTAGCTGGCACCGCCGACCCACATCTGCACCTCGGGCCCGTCCAGCTCTGCATCAAAATTGGCGCCAGGCGGCGCGGAGGCGCCGCCGCCGGCGCTATAGGCTTCTGCAGCCGCGGCCGCCGCTGCCTCGAGGGCCGGCCGGCAGGCGAGCAGCAGCGCGGCGGAGGGGAAAAGGTGCACGGCCGCCACGCGGCGGGGGCCACGCAGTGCGCGGCGCGCGCACCCCAGCGTGCCGACCGCGGCCGCCGCGGCGAGCGCCGAGGAGGTTGCCCAGTCGGCCATAGCAACCACGCTGGACGGCGGGGTCCCGCGGCCGCTGCTGCTGTTGCTGCCGTCGCCGCCGCCGCCACTCCCTGCCGTGGCACCAGACAGCTCCCGATGGAGACCTTCCGCGAGTTGCACGGCATCCGACGGGCAGCCCGGCTGCGAGCCAGGTGCAGCCGCTGCAACCACAGCCGCGTGCAACGCCGCCTCGTCTCGCCGCCGCCTTGCAGACGGCGCACGCACGAGCGGCCTCTGCGGCCGCTTGCTCCCTGCACTGTCCGGAAGCAATGTAGAACCCAAGGTATGTGTATGTTGGCAATCGCTCCGGGTAGTGGCTGCCGCGTCGATGCTTGCGCCGCTTTCGAGCGGCGCGCGGTCAGCTGTGGCTGCTGCGCCCACCCATGCACTACACTTGCTGCGTCGGACCGGCACAGCCACGCATGTCAATACATGTGACGCGATGTTTGGCCAGCCTCTTGTTCTTCGTGCAGGCCCTGCACCGGATCGCCGCATTGTTGCCCTCGCGCCGTTATACCGAGTAACATGTACGTATGCGTGACTCTCGAATCCTCAACTTCATGATGCACCGGCGTAGCATGCTACGGTAGGTTGGCAACAACTCAGCAGTCCACATTTGGCGGCCGGTGGCGACTTCCTAATGGCTTCACACTGTGCTGCTCTGCGGCCCGGCAGTGGTTGCTTCACGAATGTGCACAAGTACTTGTGCAGCGCGGAATCCCGGACACGCAGCGGCTGATTAAGCGCCAGATGAGCTGTGCAAACTGGATTGCGTATTTCCAGGGGAGAGGCACCACCTTCTGCCCCCCCAGATGG